TTGCAACTATACAAAAAGGCAGAGTTCTACCGGTGCCATTGCCACTTTCCTAGCTGACGACATGCTGGGCACACCGCTGCTATAGGTGACTCCTGATTATTTTCCTTTACTTATCTTTATTATTTATAGTGTGTTGAGTCCAGACTGTCTGATGTTCATTCCACAGGAACATCCTGGAGCAGCTTGTGAAGAATCACAGCCATCGCTGCCCCAGCAAAGCACAGCTTGGTACCCGGCCTTTAACACACATGATGAAACAAAGTAGTACTGGTATTATTCTTTGTCTCCTTATTTGGTTATTAACCTGATTATTACAAACACTATATAGAATTGGACAAACAAACACTAATGCCACGTTATAAGATAGAAAAAGGTCGAATTTCAACAGTGTATAACATATAAATAAGATACAGGTGCACGTATGGCATATTTTGCTTTGGACGATCATGCATATAATGCATAAAGTCTCTACATGGGAAGTGGTAATGGACGAACATTAAATCTGTCAAAAAGTATTTCCTTTCCAACTTGCCATACTTAGTATTCTGTATGGCCTAATTCACCCTCGATCAATTGTCGGCTAGGATTTGATTCTCCCATCTTAAAATTTCCCACAGCAGTTTCTTTCAACTGCAGCTTGGAGCGCAAGAGCATTTTTTGTCTAAGAAAAAACTTGCCCTATACTAGGGAAGTGCATCCGGATGAGAGACGACATCCCCTTAGTGATTTTGTTCCTAAGAGACAACTTCTGCTCAGTGGCGGAGCTCGAAAGAAACAATTGGGCGGGCCAGACTAAAGGAGAGCAATTCTTTTTTCCAAATTATGAATCATAAGACATGTCACAAGATTGAGCTAGAAGATATGTCATCTCTTTTTCTTTTAAAGACCAAATCAATGCTTCTTTCAGTCTGATTTTCCTTGCCCGTGACTACCTATATTGCAATTTGCATATGATCAAATCATCAGGCTATTACGTATTTATCAGTTTATCACTACTTCACTAGCAGGACTGATCACTGGATGTATGAAACTGAAAAAAAATTCCAAATAAAAGAATCAGGCTATTCCTTATTAAATTGCCCATGTACTGTACGTCTGTGCAGGGGCTGGGGGCTAAGTCATGAGAGCTCGCTCAGGAGTCAGGTCATGCGCTGCCCTATTTGAAGTTAGAGGAGATTAGGAGAACAACGGCAGGAATTGATGGCCGGCAGCACGCACGACGAACTGGTGGTCGGTGCATTATGGATTTATGGGCGGCGCCGCTGCGGTAGAGACCAGGGCAGGGGCGAGGGCGCGAGGCGAGATCCCAGCGACGGCGGGCGTCGCGCTGTGGTTTCTCCGCAAGAAGGGGGGCTGCGTGCGTCGCCGCGGCGGTTTCTCCGCGAGAAGGGGGCCGGTGCGCTCCCATTGCTCCACGGCGGTCGGCGGAGGCTACATGAGCGTGAGACAGAGAGGATGGGGAATTGGGGAGGACAGAGACGATGGGGAATTGGGGAGGCCTGTGCGTGAGACAGACGAGGAGACGAGATGTTGCCTGTGCGTGCGTGGGCTCAGTGTCAATGGGCTGGGCTACGATGACACATAGGTAAAAAAAAATTGGTCAAATTCCTGGGCGAGCCATGGCCCTGTTTTGCCCCTACAGAGCTCCGCCCCTGCTTCTGCTTCCATGTCCACTTCTTTGGAACCTTGTGCTTCCGATTATCACACACTGGATTCTTATATAGTTTTATGTCCTCCAGATTCACCGCTGCTTCCATGACACATCTGGCATAGCTAACAAATTTTTCTTCTGCTTTCAACCTACCATAGATTCTGAGCTCAGCCAGACTCTGGTGTTTCAAATTAGATGCAGATGGTTCCCACTCGAGTCCTTTGTCCTTCTCCTCGCTAAGTGGAGACATCTAAAAAGTTTGAACTTCTAAATGAGACAATACGCTCTGCAATTCCAACATGAGGTGGAACAAAAAAGAGAATTAAAGAATCGGTACAAAGAGGTTACCATGATGCCCAGTTCCTTCAGGGCAGGTGCACCTTGGAGTATGAACATTGTCCAGGTGAGATTGCATTCTTCAGAAATGTTAATCGAATTCACAAGCCTTAGTTTGTGGAACACCGGTAACAATTGTCTTCGAGCTTCTGGTTTTACCCAAATCTGCCACAAAAAAGGGATAATGCAGAATTGTTAACGAAAAATAATGATTACAACCTCTCCACAACACACATCACGCTGACAACACTGCGGACTTTCACAACACACATCACGCTGACAACACCGTGGACTTTCACTTGCCTTTTCGCACCAACCATCAACAACTTGATACAAACTCACACCACCCCAACTCACGCACACACCCAAGGTGGATACAACGGCGCTGAGCGCAGCAACACTACCCCTACCACTACAAGAGCTACCGGGGTCCTCAACCGTGAACACGCCACCGCGAAGAGACTAAGCTGCATACACCAGGAAGGGCACGAGCCCAGAGTGCCGCCACCACTCGAACCGAGGATCAGGGTTTCCCTTGGAGCAATACGACGGGCAATGAGGACCGCGACAGCGCCTTCAAGAAGGGAACGAACATCGCCGCCGCCGACCTGCCCGAAGGCAGGTCAGATTTTCACCCCAGCCAACACTCATTGCCCTCGACATAGGTACGGACGCTGCACCACCGCCACTAATCGTCACACCCCGGCCACCACGCCGTCCAGACGGCCATGGCCCCCGGGCAGCACCTGAGCACGAGCTCCGCCCACGAGCCCCGCGCTCCCACCTCCAGAGCCGCCGCCCCGGCATCCAAGACCATCCCACCCCCATCCACATCGAGCACTGACGCTAAGGCCAGAAAAGCAGGCCCTTTTGGTAAGACCGAGGCCCCGTCGGCCGGAGCAGGGCAGGGGGAGGCCACAGGCAGCTACCGGCCACGCCGCAGCCGCCACGCCATTTCTTGAACCGGGGCCAGGTCACCGTCGCCACCCCTGGCAACAGCAAGACCTAGAGGCACCCCTGTCAATCCCTCGGAGCGCCCCTCCACCTGTCAAACGTGTCGCCGACCGCAGAGCCGAACACCCCATGAATCAGGAGGAGGGGGTCGAACCACCGCCATTGCTCCGCCACCTCGACCAGCCGAGAGGGCACCGGTCAGGACAGCCGCCCGCAGACCTAGCCGCCCGCGGTCCGCTGCGCCGCAAGGCCAGATCTGGACGAGCCGCCACGGCCGCCATCACCAACCTCGGCCCACACCACCACCCACAGCCGCAGCGCCACCACCACCCACCACCAGCAGCCTGCACCGGCCACAACACGCCCCACGGTAGTCAGTGCCGCCCACGCCGGCGACGCGGGTGCAGCCGCCCGCCAAATCCATGCAGGGCCAGGATGCCGCCTCGACCACTGCCCAACTGCCCCGCTCGAGGTAGCCAGCCGCACCAACGGAGCCACCACGCCGCCTCCTGTCGACACCGGCGCGCCACCGCGACCCACCTGACCGCGACGCCCAGGCCCATCGAGGACGGCCCGTACCGCCCCCCACGCGCGTAGGGGCGAGAAGCCCCGCCGCCGCCTGCGCTGCCCGGCTTCGCCTGGTCGCGCCCTGTGGCGGCGGCGGGGGAGGAGAGGATGCGGGAGGGGGAAGAAGTCCGGCGGCTAGGGTTTCCATATGTTATACCATATGCACCTACATTCCTGAACTTTAACTTAGGACAGTACATTCCCAATCTTAGGTGATAATATTTTTATCTAAAAGTAAGTATCTCTGAAACATCAAATATGCAACGTTTATGTATGTCTCATCGATCCTAAATTTACTGAGCTTCAATATTCGCACCTGGTCAACTTTTCAAAACTTCAGCACTAACCAGGAAAACAAATTGAAGGTGCCCTTCTACTGTCTGTTGTGATGTACAATGGTGTTCAGTTCGCTGATCCATTTCAGGATACCCAAGAAAATCATCGATGAAGGCAGTATCCACAGTTTGCCAAATAAATCCCTGTCCTCCGGAGAAAGATGAAATGTTCTAATCTCTTTTGCTATCATAGCCAAAACAACCCTTTCACTTTAATCTTCACTGATCATGACAAGGCAATTTCATGATCAGAGGGTTTCACCAGAAACCGCACAAAACCTGAAGTTTTCTGTATCCTTCAATGTAACATTCTGGAGAGGGCTATCAGGTTTAATCAGGGATGAGGCCCACCATTTGGCTTGTGCCAGTGCTCTGCGGTTGCGTGTTCTAATCCCAGTTGATTGGGATGTGCACTAATCTTTCTCTCTCTCTCCTTTTCTAGTGTGTGTTGTATCTTGCCCTCCTGGGTTATACTCCCTCCGTTCCAGAATATAAGGTGTATTGGTTTCCGTGCAAGTCAACCATATGAATGTTTGACCAAGATTATAGAATAAAATAAAAACATCTGCAATACCTAATAGATTTAATATGAAACTACTTTTCATGATGGATCAAATGATATAAATTTCATATTGCGAATATTGATATATTTTTCTAAAAAAAACTCGGTCAAACACACACTTGTTTGACTTTCGAAAAAACAAATACACCTTATATAAAGGAATGGAGGGGGTACTATCCTTTCTACCTTTTCAATACATCGAGACGCAAGCCTTTTGCATTTTCTCTAAAGAAAGACATTCTGGAGAGGGTACATATACATCACAATGAGATACGTTCATGAAAAACCGTTGGCTCTATTGCATGTTTACCTTTGCTCAGTCCAGATCAAGCAAGCATTTCTTTTTGCAAATTATCCTGCTGATTGATGCCAACCTAGCACATTAAGGTAGAATTGATGAATACAAATGTTATTGAGAGATCATACAGGATTTAGTTCACAAAGTGTACCTGGTACATGATTCACCTGAACAAAGAGTGCTCTTTTATGTCCAGCAAATCATCAACATAATCATTTCAATCAGCAATCCAGTATTACTAAAGGTGATGCAAATCAATGAGCAGCTCCCCTTAATACATGAATGGACAATAGAACATCACCAATAGTCACCACATGAGCATGTTCCCTTGTCAAAATGATGAAAGCGATTGATGTCTCTCACAATAATTTCTTGTTTGACTATTTTGGATATCACCTTAAATATGGCATGGCAATCCAAGCAGGAGCGCAAATTCTTCATTATCCGAATTGGATGTCCAGGCAGTGTCATCACAAGCCCATATGCTAAAGCCAATCTCTCACTATGCACCCACAGCATGCGAGCCTTTTGTTCCTCATCTACATCATGCAACACTACGTTAGTATCAGGAACATAACCTGCCCTATGGGTTTTCAGGTTTAGCCATTCTAGCATAGCATGTATCACTCGCATATCTGGATGGTCTTCCAACCCTACTGAAAAGGCATGAACTTCACCCTTCATCTCAACCCAACTAAGACCAGTCTCCTTCCTTACACCTATATTCCTCATTGATTTCCTCAAAAGAGCAACTTCATCCAAATTTCCAGCTGCAGAATACATGTTTGATAGCAAGACATAAGTTGTCTCGTCTTGTGGTTCAATCTCAAGCACCTTCTCTGCAGAAAATCTCCCCAGATCCACATTTTTATGCACTATACAGGAGCTAAGCAATGCACGCCAAACCATAGCAGATGGTGCTGAAGGGATATCTCCAATAAAGTTCAGAGCATCATGCAGACGGCCAGCACGTCCTAGAAGCCTAACAATGCAAGTGTAATGCTCCATGGATGGTTTGATGCCATGATCAAGCTTCATAGAATTAAACAGAGAGAGTCCTTGGCTCACTAAACCCGTGCTACCATAGACAGACAGGAGAGCAACAAAAGTGATATCGTTAGCTTGAATACCATTTTTGTTCATCCTGTCAAAAAGTTCTCGGGCCTGTGCAACATGTCCATGAACAGCATATCCTGAGATTATGGCATTCCATGAAATTAAATCATGTTCTTTCTGAGTTTCAAATATCTTGCGAGCATCTCTGATGCATCCACACTTTGCATATGAATCAATAAGTGAATTGCTTACAATGGTGTCACTGTTGAATGTGGATTTCTCAACCAAACAGTGAACCTGGCCAACATGATTGATGGATGCTGTGCTTGCGCAAGCCCGGAGCACGCTTGAGTATGTAACTTGAGTTGAAGGTGCTGTAGCAGCACGCATTTCACGGAATACAGTCAAAGCATCTTCTCCAAAACCAGACTGGCTGTAACCAACAATAATTGTGTTCCAGCTCACCTCGTTGGCATCCCGCAATGATGAGAAGATCTTGAGTGAGCTTTCCATGTCGCTGCACTTGGCATAGAGATCCATTAGTGCATTTCCAACAAATAACTCAGACTCATGACCAATCTTTATAGCATTGCTATGAATTTGCTCGCCTAGGTCCAAGAGGGGCATATTAGCACAAGCTTGCAGAACACTTGATAGACTAAATTCATTAGGCACCACAGAAGACCGCATCATTTTGATGAACAGCTCGAAGGCCTGCTCGTTCTGATTGCTCTGTGCGTACAGGGATATCATAAAACTCCAAAGTATCACATCATCATGGGGAACCATCTCAAAAGCCAAGCGGGCATCCTCAATACCCCCACATTTGGCATACATATCAAGCAGCGCACCACAAACGCGAGGCTCAGCATCATAAAGCGTTTTTATTGAACAGGCATGGATACCTTTGCCTAGCACAACCGACGACAAGCACACGGCAGCCCTGAGCACACTGGTGAGTGCAAAGGGGTTGATCTTAGAAACCGCCACCCTCATCTCCCGGAAAACCTCAAGCGCGTCCTCCGGGCGGTTATTCTCAGAATAGCAAGAAACCATAGCAGTCCAAGCAACGGCATCCTTACCCACGATCCGATCAAACAGGCGCCTTGCATCACCGACAGCCCCGCACATGGAGTAGGCGTCGATCAGCGCAGACCCGACAAAGGCGTTCTGTTCATGGCCCAGCTTGCACGCGCAAGCGTGCACGCCCCAGGCGAGCCCCAGAGCGTCCATGGCAACAACCAGCTTCAGCACCGAGGTGAGCACGAACTGGTTCACCTCGTGCCCCTCCCGCCGCAGCCTCCGGAACAGCGCCGTCGCCGGCTCAAACTCCCCCCGCAGCGCATGGGCCTGGAGGAGCGTGACGAAAGACACCATGTTCCGCTCCGGCAGCCCGTCGAACACCCTGCGCGCGCCGGCGAAGGGCCCGAGCTTGGCGTACAGGTTGATCAGGACGTTGGCGCAGAAGAGGTCGAGGCTGCCGCCCCGCACGACATGGCCGTGCACGGCGCGGCCGCCGCGGGCGTCGCCGCGCGCGACGCAGCCCTGCAGCTGCCTGGCGCACGCGTGCGCGTCGACCCCGGGCCCGCGCCCGGGTTCGGGGAGGGCGAGCGAGGTGAGCTCGTCGTCGAGCCACTGCAGCGCCGAGTTGGCCGCGAGGTCGCGGCGGGGCGGGCGCGTGTGGTGAGAGACGGCCGGGAGGAGGCGGCGGCTCGCACGCCGGATCATCGCCCGTGGCGGGACTGGCGGGCGGCAGCGGCAGCGCACCGACTAGAATTTTTTTTTTTGGTCCCAGTTATTACAGTCCAAATGTCCCAACCCCCACCCGGTTGGGCCCCAGTCTACCGAATTAGGGCCGCGGAAGAGGATGCAGCCCACGCGAGGCGCTGGTGCTGGAGACCGGCGAGGCGGATGGCAACAGACCAGCCGATGTTTAGTACCACCTCGGCTACCGAAGAGACCTACACCCAGCTTATAAGCCCGCTTGCGACAGCTAAATCTGTCCCTTCGGGGACATTCGATAAAATTGGAACGATACAGAGAAGATTAGCATGGCCCCTGCGCAAGGATGACACGCACAAATCGAGAAATGGTCCAAATTTTTTTAGGTTTCGCGCGCAGGTCCTTTTTCTTCTCACACATATGGCCCTGGTATCTTACTTCCACACCCTCGCTTCTTTGTGAACGCTTACAGATAGGTCCTTTCTTCTATTTGTAGCCCCCTGATTTGTTTACAACGCAGTCCTGTTGGTGTTGGAGCTTCACTTGCGAACTGGTCCTCCAACTTTTCTTTTAAGATATATACAGTCCTCTTGGCAATTCGCTTCTACGTTGGGCACAACTGTGGTTCAATTTTGTGAACCAACTTGGCAGCTCCCTTATGCAGCCTGTTGTCGGTTTCCTCCTGTAACTTTTCTGAAACACTATATGTAGACTTTTTTATGAGCAACGATATATGACGAGACATATTTTTGGATCACTTTTTGCTGCTAACATATACGGTATACATTGATGATTCATGTTATTTCGTTCGATTAAGAGCATATTTGAAGGAGAAGAGAAATGTGCCATTGTTGACTGCAAACTGATACTCCAGCACAATTTCCTCATGTAATTGTACCAGTTAAATGCACAGAGGGCACGAACATGCATTTTACTGGATAACGATGCTCAACATCTCTCTCGTCATTTAAATTCCTCATGGCAAGTTGGTAAGCACAAATAACAAGTTCCCAACACAGACACGTGCGGGCCTTCAAATAAACAGAATTGGCACGAAATTTGCAATACAAAACTTTTGGTACTAATTTTGAAGAAGAAGATGGAATCACAAAGATAAAATTTTGATAGATGCGCGAATAACCACCAAAGGAGTTGATTACCAGCCAAAAGAGGTTCGTGGCATTGTGTAACCAACCGGCATTCTTGAGATATAGGCTTGTTTGTTTGCGCTGCGGCTTCTCCCAAAGCAGTTGTAAACTTGCTATGCTAAGAAAGGGGCTGCGATGAAACTTAGTTGTTTACGTCAAAAATGAATGTTAGTTGTTTGGCAACATAATCGTGGAAGTTGATGAGAAGGCAGAAACGCCCCAAAGCGCTCCCACATCCACCTCCCAGCAATGCGCCCTCCCCTGTTCCTCCTGCGCTACACGCGCATTGATCGACTCTGCCTCGCACTTCATCGCCGTGAAGTGCGCCTACCAAAAGTTGGTTTCTAAAGCCCAAACAAACGAGGCCACAGGGATGCATGTGTTAAGAGTTAATACTTTACATGCACTCCAATCTGATGAATCTTGATCTTGTAAAACTCTCGCATATTGTGCACATATAAATACAATGACGTGACCTCCCCTGAAAGGTCAAGACGCTTACCCACCTTCCTTCTCAATTCATAGAATGCGAGTAAATTGCACAAAACCATCATTTTGAAAGTCAGCTTTGCGAAAACCACTACAATACATTTTTTTTCTTCAGAAAACACCATATCTTCGGTAATCTTTTTGCAAAAAATACTGATCGGCGGATCGGGCTCAGGTAAGCTTGTTCATGACAGGTGGGGGCCGCCAGTCAGACTGACATGGCAACACTTAACATTTTACGCGTAACAGCGACAATTGGTAACGATAACATCATGAGTGAGACTGTGGGGTCCACCTGTCATTGAAAGAAAAGAAGAAAAAATTCAGTTCATCTTATCACTATACCACCAAATCGCCCCAAATCTCAGTTCACCAAGCCGCCGCCGCCCGTCCCGCCGCCGGCCGAGGCAAAGTCCACTGTCGCCGGTGCTGTGCCCAAGTGCACGCAAAGGTCGTTGCCCATCTGTTCATGCCAGGGGCTACCGTCACCCGTTCTAACCCAGGCCGCGGCAGGGGCTGCCGTCGCCCATCCCGACCGCGACCGTGGCAGGGGCTGTCGTCGCCCGTCCCGACCCCGGCCGAGGCAGGCGCCGCCGTCGCCGTTGCCGTTCCAAGGGGGAGCAGAGGACGCCGCTCGTCCCGCCCCCAGCCGAGGGCGGCCTTCCGCCATGCGCCGATAATGCCGTCGCCGTTGCCGCACCGAGGGGAAAGCAGAGGACACCGCCCTGTTGGGGAACGTTGCAGAAAACAAAAAATTTCCTACGGTTTCACCAAGATCCATCTAGGAGTTCATCTAGCAACGAGTGATTAGATGCATCTACGTACCTTGTAGATCGCGAGCGGAAGCGTTCAAAGAACGGGGATGAGGGAGTCGTACTCGACGTGATTCGAATCACCGAAGATCCTAGCACCGAACGGACGGCACCTCCGCGTTCAACACACGTACGGAACAACCACGTTTCCTCCTTCTTGATCCAGCAAGGGGGAAGGAGAGGTTGAGAGAGATGGCTCCAGCAGTAGCACGACGGCGTGGTGGTGATGGAGTTGCAGTACTCCGGCAGGGCTTCGCCAAGCACTATGGAGGAGGAGGATGTGTTGGAGAGGGAGAGGGAGGCACCAAAGATCAAGGTAAAAAGTCCTCCATCTCCCCACTATATATAGGAGAGACAAGGAGGGGGGGGCGCCGGCCCTAGGAGATCTAATCTCCTAGGGTGGTGCGGCCAAGGGGAGGAATCCCTCCTCCCCAAGGCACCTAGGAGGTGCCTTCCCCTCCTAGGACTCTTCCTCCTTGAAACCCTAGGTGCATGGGCCTCTTGGGGCTGGTGCCCTTGGCCCATGTAGGCCAAGGCGCACCCCCTACAGCCCATGTGGCCCCCCGAGACAGGTGGCCCCACCCAGTGGACCCCTGGGACCCTTCCGGTGGTCCCGGTACAATACCGGTGACCCCGAAACTTGTCCCGATGCCCGAAATAGCACTTCCTATATATAATTCTTTACCTCCGGACCATTTCGGAACTCCTCGTGACGTCCGGGATCTCATCCGAGACTCCGAACAACATTCGGGTTACTGCATATACATATCCCTACAACCCTAGCGTCACCGAACCTTAAGTGTGTAGACCCTCCGGGTTCGGGAGACATGTAGACATGACCGAGATCGCTCTCCGGCCAATAACCAACAGCGGGATCTGGATACCCATGTTGGCTCCCACATGCTCCTCGATGATCTCATCGGATGAACCACGATGTCGAGGATTCAAGCAACCCCGTATACAATTCCCTTTGTCAATCGGTATGTTACTTGCCCGAGATTCGATCGTCGGTATCCCAATACCTCGTTCAATCTCGTTACCGGCAAGTCACTTTACTCGTACCGTAATGCATGATCCCGTGACCAGACACTTGGTCACTTTGAGCTCATTATGATGATGCATTACCGAGTGGGCCCAGTGATACCTCTCCGTCATACGGAGTGACAAATCCCAGTCTTGATCCGTGTTAACCGAACAGACACTTTCGGAGATACCCGTAGTATACCTTTATAGCCACCCAGTTACGTTGTGACGTTTGGCACACCCAAAGCACTCCTACGGTATCCGGGAGTTACACGATCTCATGGTCTAAGGAAAAGATACTTGACATTGGAAAACTCTAGCAAACGAACTATACGATCTTATGCTATGTTTAGGATTGGGTCTTGTCCGTCACATCATTCTCCTAATGATGTGATCTCGTTATCAATGACATCCAATGTCCATAGTCAGGAAACCATGACTATCTGTTGATCAACGAGCTAGTCAACTAGAGGCTTACTAGGGACATGTTGGTGTCTATTATTCACACATGTATTACGATTTCCGGATAATACAATTATAGCATGAACAAAGACAATTATCATGAACAAGGAAATATAATAATAATGCTTTTATTATTGCCTCTAGGGCATATTTCCAACAGTCTCCCACTTGCACTAGAGTCAATAATCTAGTTACATTGTGATGAATCGAACACCCATGAAATTCTGGTGTTGATCATGTTTTGCTCTAGGGAGAGGTTTAGTCAACGGATCTGCTACATTCAGGTCCGTATGTACTTTACAAATATCTATGTCTCCATTTTGAACATTTTCACGAATGGAGTTGAAGCGACGCTTGATGTGCCTTGTCTTCTTGTGAAACCTGGGCTCCTTGGCAAGTGCAATAGCTCCAGTGTTGTCACAGAAGAGCTTGATCGGCCCCGACGCATTGGGTATGACTCCTAGGTCGGTGATGAACTCCTTCACCCAAATTGCTTCATGCGCTGCCTCCGAGGCTGCCATGTATTCCGCTTCACATGTAGATCCCGCCACGACGCTCTGCTTGCAACTGCACCAGCTTACTGCCTCATCATTCAAAATATACACGTATCCGGTTTGTGACTTAGAGTCATCCAGATCTGTGTCGAAGCTAGCGTCGACGTAACCCTTTACGACGAGCTCTTCGTCACCTCCATAAACGAGAAACATTTCCTTAGTCCTTTTCAGGTACTTCAGGATATTCTTGACCGCTGTCCAGTGTTCCTTGCCGGGATTACTTTGGTACCTTCCTACCAAACTTATGGCAAGGTTTACATCAGGTCTGGTACACAGCATGGCATACATAATAGAACCTATGGCTGAGGCATAGGGGATGATACTCATCTCTTCTATATCTTCTGCCGTGGTCGAACATTGAGCTGAGCTCAATTTCACACCTTGCAACACAGGCAAGAACCCCTTCTTAGACTGATCCATATTGAACTTCTTCAATAACTTATCAAGGTATGTGCTTTGTGAAAGACCTATGAGGCGTCTTGATCTATCTCTGTAGATCTTGATGCCTAATATAAAAG